CAACCCTCTGCAGTAGAAGAGGTGGACCAAACGGCTGCAGACTATAATAAGAAGCGTGTTTGTTTTTTTAACATCTGCATACTGCTGCAGATATTAAAAAACTAAAATAAACTAATTTTATAAACCGAAAATAGCTTTTTAATACGTAAAATTTAATAATGTATAACATTTCGGTAAAAATTAATGATATTTCAGTAAAAAAGAATGATATTTCAACAAAAAATAAAGATATTTTCAGTAAAAAATAATGATATTTCATCAAGAAATTATCATTATTGAATATAAAAAAAATGAAAATAAAATTCAATAAGAATAAACGAAAAAAAGGGAAAAAATGTGAAATAAAATTTTAATAACATATAATCAAAATTTCAGCAATAAAAAAAGAAGAAGAAGAGGTTGGAAGAGGTTGGAAGAGGCAGTACAAGTGCTGCGCCAAACAGAGCACACGTAGAGGTTTTTGACTCAGAAGACTTCTAAAAAACAAACAACTGCAAGATGAAAAGTGTTGCGTTGTGCTGCGCCGCGCAGCAGTAAGAGGTTTGAAGAGGTTTTTTCCAAAAACCAAACAGCACCTTAGTTAAACTCACAATTTCCGTTAACCATGTAATTAGTGAAAGTCAACTAGCATTAAGAACCAAAAAGTTACCAAATCCAAGATGGGTCAAATGCTTTCACCACCATGTTGGAGAAAATGCTTTTATGATTGTGTGAAGCAAAAACAACACAAAAATCATTTGTTGCTTGCTAATTTGAGGATCCTTTACTTAATCAAGAAATTAGCCAACTAATCACCAAAAACACATTTAAACTTATGAACTAAAACATACAAGTAGTGATAAGATATTAAAACACAAAACATTCCCATAAAGATTTAAGAACATGTTCATGGATTCTTCAACATTCAACAAAAGTTCAAAGGATTCAACAAAAGTCAACCAAGATTAGTTTAGCCAAGCATGGCTAAACTCAAAGAAACAAAGTTAGAGAAGATTGTACCAAACATTAAGCAAGAATCAAGAGGTACCAACCTTCCTCAAAAGTCTTCAAAACTCCAGAGAGAATCTTCAAAAATTGGATGTCTAAAAGTGTGCAAAAGATAGGCACCAACCTTCCTCAAATATCCTTCCAAATGGATTTCCGAAATTACCCCTGCAGGGCCTTGCGCGACTCGCGTGCTGTTGCGCGGGTGGTGCCTCACATGGGTTTCTTTGAGTTTTTGGGCCTCCAAAACATATTCCACTAGCCCAGATCGAATCCAATCACCTCCTAGCCCATTTTCTTCAAGTTTTTCTTCATTTTAAGCCCAATTTGGCCTTTCCAAATCCTCCAAACTCGCCCGGTTAATAATTTACGCACGCTTGAATAAACTCCCACATCTTGCAAATTTAAAGTTTATTTCTCCCAAAGCCTTCAAATAATCATCAAGCTCGCTCCATGCATCATCTCCACAATCACCAAGCCTAACATCCTTTTTTGTCTACTAAATCCCATCCCTTTCCATACGTCCCGAACACTCCCACTCCGCCAGACCCGAAAACCTGCAATTATGCTCACAAGATTTGAAAGTACCCAAAATAGTCATATATTAACAAAAAGGAAAATATGCATGGAAATTATCTAAATTATGAGTGAAATATGCTAAAATAAACTATAAAAAGAAGTAAATAAAACAAACTATCAAATCACCCCAAGCTTAAACCTTACTTGTCCTCAAGTAAGACAAGACTAAAATGAACTTGGGATTAACTATCCTAGAGAAAATAAAAAGAATGGATAGAACCGCGAAACCTGATCACCGTTAGTCAACATGGTCAGAATTGATCTTGCTATTACCTCACGAATTTTTCATCCGATAACAATGGAACCATAAACCACAGCCAGGACAACTCCTTTAGGTGAGTAAGGAGTGATGAGCAGTCGCAGCCTCAATGGAACATGCATACAATGAAGAATATTTGTAGTAGGGAGAAAGCAGCTGGATAGGCTCGGGTGGAGCTCTTCTTTAAATGTACACTCTGATCTCACATTTGCCGGTTTCTTTCATGTGTAACTAGGTTTAATCGTGTGACATCCCCAAAAATCACGGCCAGAAAAGACCGATTTTGTTTATGCTTTATAAAAATCAGAGTACTTCATTTTATAAAAAGGTTGCGGAATTTGTTCCCAGAAAAACATGGTAAATACGTTATTAAAACATTTTCGAAGAAACATATTTATTTCATTTTAAAACGTTTGGGATGTCATCGTTAATACAGGAACATAAGCATAAACAGAACTTACAATTATTCACACTAGTGGTCTACATCTCTTTAAATCTCTCAGTGTAATGTCACTTTATATCAACACCTGTGATATAAATAAACTGAGTGGGTCAGGTTGGGAAACCTGGTGAGCACATAGGGATTTCAATCCCACAATGTTATACCATATATATAGTTTAAAATTCACAAAATATACAATTTCAGCATACATATATATAAACAACTCTTATCCCACCCCGTCGATTCTCGCAACGAGGCTATCCATACTCTCGGACCTAAGATTAGTCGTTTTACCTACTCCATACTCTCGGATCAGAAATGAACGAATTTACCAAATCCATACTCTCGGACTAGGGACGAATGACTAATCCATACTCTCAGATTAAAGATGAATGATTATGCCTAATCCATACTCTCGAACTAGGGACAATAGCTAATCCATACTCTCGGATTAACAACGAATGATTATGCCTAATCCATATTCTCGGACTAGGGACAATGACTATGTCTAATCCATACTCCTGGATAAGTGACATATACTAACTTCTATTCTCTGAGTTTAACTCACTTGTACTCGTAAGAATATACTACCCAATATTCCTCATATTTAATTTAGGTCTACTCTTTATCCTAAATTATCAAATATAATCAGGTATGTTCTTTAACACGAATTTCAAACAACATCAATTAACTCGCACATAAACATATAATTAATACTTCAATCAATACTTGTATTAAAATCATGTTCATGAAAGGGACTATGCACTCACCTGAGAAGGTGGTGACTCGGTACTCGGACAGCGCTTCGTTTACTTTAAAATAATTTCCTTCGACGAAACCTAGTATTATCACCAATAGGTTTTAGTCTATTATTCGCCGAGACTAATTAATAGTCTAGATATTATTACTATTATATAAGCGTTAAAAAAATACTTATATAACCCATAATAATAGCCCAAGTATTTATTATATGTTCTTAATAACGTTAATACAATTAAATAAAAACTATATTAAAAATAGCGTAGGCGTAGCTCACTTACAGCGGGTTTTATAGAAAACTAGGCTTTGCTTGGAGCAGCGTTTTCGAGCCGAAAAGCTCTTCTTCTCGGAGCCGTCAAGCACTCCGGGGCTTCCGCCTCGTGATAGGGAGGTTCCCTAGGCTTTTCGGGGGATTTCGGGGCTAGAGAGAGGTTCTAGAGAGAGAGTAAAGAGAAGAAAGAATGGGAAAGGTGTGAAGAAAATGAGGGTGGGAGAGGTGGTATTTATAGAGTGAAAATGGCTGAACTTGGTGCCACATGTCACCATCTAGTGGCAAGACTTGGGGAGAAAGCAATGGCCAAGATTGTGCCACATCACCCATTTTCGCACAACACACTTCCGACTTCTAAAATCCGTAACTTTCACATACGACCTCCGTTTTTGATGTTCTTTATATCCACGCGTAGGTAAACATAATATCTACAACTTTCATTTTGACTCCATTGGCTAATTCTCGACCGATCTTAAATTTAACAGTACGAGGCGTTTAGACTGTTAAATGACCGCGAAGAATTCGTAACTCCTTCATACGGACTACGTTTTCGTCTGTCTTTTTACCGTTGAGTTCCTATTAATGAGATCTTCAACTCTCATTTATTTCACGTAAGCCAAAAACCACTCGAACTAAAATTCGAGTTTCGGGCTGTACACTGCTAAGCCGAATCTTAGAAAAATCATAACTTCCTCATACGAAGTCAGATTTGGGCGTTCTTTTTATCGACTCTCTTAGTTTAACATATTCTACGACTTTTGTTTAGATTGCTAAGGCTAAAAATTCTTCTATCGTAAATTCACTATTTACGTCTTTCGGTGCCGTGCCGGTTTTGCCGTAAAACTTCGGCGGGCCATAACTTCTTCGTTATAACTCGGATTTCGGCGTTCTTTATATGTACGGAAACCTTGTCACATATTCTAAAACTTGGTTAAGACTATTCATTCTAAATAATCTTTTTTCGAAAAGTCATTTTTGACCCCTATTGCCTCTAAATTGACTAGCCCAGATCTGCAGGCGTTACAAATCGCTCGGGCACCGTTATAGGAATCGGTTCACTTGGTGTTGGCCCAAACCTCCCGTAGTATCCGACTCGACAGCCTCCTAACATCGCCAATTTGCGAAAAACAACTCGATCTATATACAATAAAACATACCTAAATAAATGAATATCAAACGTCGGGTGACCAAAATGTTGGAAAATTTTGTTCAATAATTGAACCGGTCACCATTCTCAGAGATTTCTGCAGCTGGGAATTTGTCTGCCCCTTTTTTTTTTTTACTAAAATGCTATGCAAGCTAATTAAAATGCATGAGAAATCAAAAAGAAAAGGGAAATGCCCCACCCCAAGCTTAAGAACAAGCATTGTCCTCAATGCTTAAGGAAATGGCGGAAATAACCTAAATCGGAGGGTCAGGCGGCGGGAAATGCCCATGATGATAGTGGTAGTCCCACATATCCTGGACCTGGCGGGAAGTGGGAGGGAAGGACTGCTCCAATTGATCAACACGGCGCGCCACATCTTGGATGGCTCTTGTATTCTCTTGCGTTTGAGTGTCGATGCGCTGCACCGTGGAGAACATTGTGGCAAATTGGTCAAAGAACGTAGGGGGAAATATGGTGGGACTTCGTGTCCCCCCTGCTGATGGGGCTGGTCGAAATGTTGTGGAGGGGCCTGGAATTGGTCATGCTGAAACATCGGCTGCTACATCGAAGGCTGGTCAAAATGGTCCTCAGCTTCGGGCATCTCGTCGTCCTTTTTGTCATCTTCTTCCTCGGGTTCCTCAGTGTCTTCACCCTCTTCATCACCGAATTCTGGAAATACACCTGCTTGGGTCAACTGATCTGGAGGAAGCCAAGTGTCGGGGTCATCTGTGTCGAATGAAGAACCGATCCAACTTGGAAGGATGTAAACCGCGGTTCTGTCAGAGTCTAACCAACTGTACATGCAGGTTCCCCGATCGAGCAACATCTCCATCCTAATGAGAGCATCACAGTCCAGCAAAAAGTTCGGTGGGGCGTTGACAAGTATGTACTCAGGAGCCAGGAAGTCTAGGCCGACGAATCGACCTATGATCGTGATAAGTCCCACGATGAAAATTTCTCCCGTGGTGCGCTGGCGTATGGAGTTGCATTTGTCTAAAAAGAAGCCTGAAAAGCTAAGAGTCCACGCCTCATGCTTCTGAGGAATAATAGCTCACATCTTTTGATTTGACTGGGATCGAGGCTCCCGAAGATACTTGTCGTGAGAACTTGGTGAGAAATTCGCCAGCTGAACGATGTGCTTGGCTCGCTGTCGGCTTGGGTTAAAGGTTATGAGACCGGGAATTTTCATCCAAAAGTTTGCATCCGGGTAACGCAGAAAATATTGGTACTCTTGATATTAGGGGCTAATGCGGAATGGATCGTCTATACCCATGATGTAGTCAAGCTATTCGTATGAGAGTCTATGGCGCCCCCCCCCCCCCCCGCCCCTTTCAAATGGAATGTGAGGACTTTTGCAGCATCATCTCATGCATATGTGCTAAGGAATTCCAATGTGGGTTCCTCGCAAGTTCTGTCACAAAGTCGAAGAAAACCATGCCAACCCATTTTTTGTAACAAAAATGATACGCCATCGTGCACCCCAATCTTTTTCATGGACTTTCTATGGTAGAATTTTGTCGGCCGGATTGTGCGACCCCGAAGGTTGGAGCGATAGGTTTGATTTCATCATTTGTAAGGGAAGGATCGCTTCCCTCTTCTCCTCCCTTGTTTCGTTTACCGACTGCTTTGCGTGATGGACCGGCGACATCCTTTTGCGGGTTGGGGTCAATCGATGATCCATGGGTGCGTGCCCGAGCTACGGTTTTCCCATTTTCAAAACCTACAATATTAAAAACCATTTCACCAAAGTAATCCCTCACCTCACCACTCTCAAATCAATGCAACTATTTTTAAACCGAACACAAAATTCCAAGAAATAATGACACCTAACTTTTGACAATTTAAAATGGTTTCAACACCACCACTCGGTTAATTGGACAATCCCAACAAAAATTCGGCAGCATTACTAAACAAAATGAGAAAATCCGAACCAAAGTTTAAACAATTTTTGAACAAATTTCCAAGCAAATTAACCAATCTCAACCATTTTTAAATCAATGTTTCCAATTAACCGGGCAATAACTAACGATCCTAGGAAATTTTCAAAGCATAATTGGATGCAATTATCGAATTGGAACAATGCAATGTAATAAAAAGCAAGGAAAGAGAATACCTGAATTGTCCCAAAATTGAACTTGAACCCGGAATCCGCTACCGTACACCCCAAGCTTAGTGGTTGTTCGTGGGTACCAAAATGCAAGACTTATTCACTAAAAGAATATTTTTAACTTGATTTTTGCGAAAAATCCGGCGGCGGCTCGTGGTGGCTCAAAAATTTTGGCAAATTTTTTGGTGAGATTTTGAGTTTTTGTTCGGTTAGATGTAAAGAGCTTGGAAAAAGAAACACTTTGGTGGTGTCGAAATTGTGAGAGGTGGCCGGATTTGGCCGGAAAATGGCCGGAAAGCGGCGAGTTGGGTGGTGGTGGTGCCTCTAAATCCGGCAATGGATCGGAGTAAATTTTGGGTGGGTATGTAGAGCACGGAAAATGGTGAAGAATGGCGGTGGTCGCGTCGGGTTCCTACCGGTAGAACTCCGGGAAATCGAATTTTAGTGAAAAGTGGGTTTATGTGTTCTTGAGAGTTTGAGATAGAATGGAGGGTGTTTGAGAGAATGAAATGAAGAAGAAGAGTTGCTGGAGGTTTTCAATCCATATATAAGTGTGGTCAACACCCGGTCAACGTTGGTCAACTCATTAAACCACATGGTCAACGAAAGTCAAAGATGGTCAACAAAATAGGGGTTGGTCATCAAGGTAGCATGCGGGTCACGCAACCTATGCCATTACAAGGGTGACTGTTGATGCATGGGGAAGGCCGGCCGCGCACCCATGAACGGGTCGCGCATGGTTTTGCTCCCGGTTCTCGATTTTTTTTTCGTTTTCTTCTGTTTCTTCACTACCTTTTGATCCAGAAGGCCCCAAACACCTAGAAACTCTTGAATTCTTAAAAAATAACTCTAAAAGACACATCAAAACATCTTCGAAGCTTCCTTATTCGAACGTAAAAACATGAAAGCATAAAGCTTTCCAAAAATGCCTCTCTTTAACGTCTTTGGCGAGACGTCCTACTAGCTTGATTCAACACACCGAGACATCCAAGTGGATAATTTCAATAGCGTTTGCATTAAAACCTTCATAGAATGACTTCAATCGGTGCCCATTGACTTTGAAAGTTTGTCCCGTTTCTTCACTTTGGATTTCGACCGCTCCATGGTCAAAGGTTTTTATTACAACAAATGGGCCAATCCACCTTGATCTTAATTTGCCCGGGAATAACTTCAATCGTGAATGGTAAAGTAAGACCATATGCCCTGGTTCAAAATTCTTCCGGGTGATGGACTTGTAGTGGAAGAGCTTCGTTTTTTCCTTGTAAATTCTCGAGTTTTCATAGGAGTCATTTCTCAATTCTTCTAACTCTTGAATTTGAAACTTCCTATGTACTCCCGCCTCATCAATATTGAAATTGCATTTCTTGACTACCCAAAACGCTCGGTGCTCTAACTCGACGGGAAGATGACAAGATTTTCCAAAAACTAATATGAAGGGCGACATTCCTATCGGGGTCTTATAAGCGGTCCGATAGGAATGTCGCCCTTCATTAAAACCTTGTCGTATTCATATTAGTTTTCTCTAGAATAGACTTCACTAATATGAAGGGTGACATTCAAAAAACTTATGAGCGGTCCGATAGCATCGTCAAGCCTCAAACTCCAATATTTCCTTGTCGGATGCACTGTTTTCTCTAGAATAGACTTCACTTCACGATTCGAAACATCCGCTTGACCATTCGTTTGAGGGTGGTAGGCGGTAGAGACACGATGGGTCACATTGTACCATTTTAGTAAGGCCTCCATCATCTTGTTACAAAAATGCGTCCCTCGATCACTAATCAATGCCCTAGGTACACCAAACCTCACAAAAACATTATACTTCAAAAACTTGATAATTGTTTTGGCATCGTCCGATCTTGTGGCTTTGGCCTCAACCCATTTAGAAACATAGTCAACCGCGAGCAAATATATAAACGTTGCCAAATGATACGGGAAATGGGCCCATGAAATCAATCCCCCATACGTCAAAATTTTCACAAACAAGGATTGGATTTTGGGGCATTTGGTTCTTTTGCGAAATGTTTCCCGTCCTTTGGTACCGTTCACAACTTTTGCAAAACAAGTAACAGTCGCGTGACATGGCGACCAAAATAGTCCACACTCAAGGACCTTTCTCAAGATCCGGCTAGGTCCGAAGTGTCCCCGACAAGCAAATTCATGACAGAATTGCAAAATATATTGGTGCTCTTATTGGGGTACACATCGCCTAATGATTTGATCGGGATAATGTTTCCACAAATACGGCTCATCCCACACATAGTATTTTGCATCACTTTTGAGCTTGTCTTTTTGAGCACGTGTGAACCATCCTTTTTCTTAACAAAAAGGATTGGCGCTCCCCACGATGAGCTACTCGGTCCGATAAATCCCTTCCCCAACAGCTCCTGGAGCTGTGAAGATAACTCCTACATCTCTGGTGGCGCAAAGCGATAAGGTGCCTTGGCAATAGGCGCAATACCCAGAACTCCACCTGCCTCTCGGGAGGCACACCTGGTAACTCCTCTAGAAAAACATCTGGGAACTCGCACACTATCGGAACCTCGGAGATAGAAGCTGGCCTCACTGAAACAATCTGTGTATCCATCACATATGCTAGAAAACCCATACAACCCTACTGTAAGCTCTACTTCGCCCTGGCAGTAGAGCATAAGGCTGACCCAGATCTGGTACCCTCGCCATACAATGTAAACACTCCCCCTCTGGGGTCTCTTATAGTCACCAAATGACACTCGTAGTTGATCACAACTCCAAAACGACTCAACCAATGCATGCCCACGATGACACAGACATCACCCATCACAGTCGGTACTAGATCAATCAGAAAATCGACACCAAAAACCTCCAGCACACATCCTCGGAACACATCAGTAGCGAAAACCGCATGCTCGTCAGCTATAGAAACCCTCAGTGGTCGACTCAATGTCTCACATCGGATGTTGATGTGATGACTAAAAGCTAAGGACACGAAGGATCGACTCGCACCCGAGTCAAATAACACTAAAGTAGGTACAGAACTCACAAGGAATGTACCTAAATAGCACATAATAAGCATAATAGATCTTAAAATAAATAAATAAGGAAATACGTACCAGCCACGGCATCCGGTGTTGTGCGGACCTCCTTTGTTGTCAGCTGAAAAGCTCTCTCACTAACCCTCAGAACCTCGGCCTTCACCGACCGACTATCAGTAGCACGCAAAGCAGCAGGTGTAGATCCCTGTGCTGATCCCTGACGAAGTTGGGGGCACTTGATCTTCCGGTAGCCAGTCTGGTTGTAGTGGAAGCAAACTGCAAATCCCTTGGAGCAATCCTTTGTCATGTGCCCTTCCTTGCCACACTTGTAGCAAATCCCCGTTCGGCACGACCCCTTATGACTCTTGCTGAAGTTTCCACAAGTGTGACCCTTCTGGCCCCCAGTCCTCAAATGAGTCGGCTTAGCCCGCTTTGCTGTCGGCTGCGACTGCACTAGCCTCCGGTCTCTCCACTAAGACTCCACAACCTCCCTGGCCTAAGTCTCCATCTTGATCTTCCTCCTCATGGAATTTGCCTGAAGCTCAGCAAATGTCCGATACGACGAGTTCGCCATGAACTCTCAAATATCCCTCCTCAGAATGCTCAAACACCGGCCCGTGCGTGCCTGCTCAGACAACATATGCTTAAGGCAGAATAGCTCCCTCTCGTGAAACATCCGTGTAATCTTAGTCACCGACTCTATCTTTTGCTTAAGAGAAAGAAACTCTCGGGCCAACTATTCCCACTCCACCAGGGGAACATATTCATTTCAGAACATCACAGTAAAGCTCTTCCAAGTCACTGCAACGTGCTCTGCGGGAGTAAACTGGTCGTCGCAAACTTCCACCAGTCCTTTGGTCTCAAGTGAAGCTGGTTCAGCACGAATCGTACCCTCAAATGTTCTGGGCATCAACAGGTATAGAAATACCCCTCGATATCAGAGATTCATCTCATCGCAACAATCAGATCTTGAGTCCCATCAAACTCTGGTGGCTTCGTGTTGCTGAACTCTCGGTCCAACAACATGTCACCTCCCTGTGGCTTGGCAGCAATGACAGTTGCGGTGGCTGTAACAGTAGCCACCTAAAAAACTACAACATATCACTCATCGTCTCAATCAAAGTGGTCTTAATAGACCCAAACATCTCCGGAATAGCCTCTCGTATGGTTGTGGCCACCTCGTCGTGAATCATCCTGCGAATCTCATCATCGCTAACTCCACTGCTCCCTGGGGTGTGGCGTGTACCCACCATGATGTCTTTGAAACACAGCACAAAATTATCAAAGACTCGCTTGAGCATACTCACGTTCGACTACTTATCCCTACTTGCTGCGTAGCATCCTAAGGATACTTACTTGGGTTGCATACAGACCGAGTGCTTTCAGTAGTACAGGCCCAATACTACCTTCCACACCCCACCTGTAGTCACCCCAAGTCCTGCTCCTCGGTCTTTAATTCACAAGTACTCTATACCTTACAAACTTCAGACTACTCTCCTAAAAGACTACTCACATGCTCATCTAAGTATCGTTTCCTAGATTATTTCCCAACTTATAACTCAACACATACTAAGAGCAAACAACAGATAACATTGATCAAAAGCATCTCTTAGGCTAA